TACCCTGCATTTTACCTCAAGAGCAAAACTTGCTGCTCTGAAGTGGAAGTGCCCAGACAGTCATGCCTCAGAACATGTTCCTCTGCTGCTTGGAAACATACCTGTATTACTGCGGGTCCCCAAACCATTAATTACTGAAACCCATGCAAACTGAATGTTGCCATGGCAACCTGCAGCCCTACAGAAGGCTATTTGTCTCCTCCTTGACCTTTCAGGAGATCTGTATCTTGCTCAAGCCCCCTTCTCTAATCTGGTTTTTAAAATATAATAGTATGCTACTGGAAGGGATCAGACCTTTAATCTGATTGTGTGTGCATGTGTCAGTGCATGTATGGGGGAGTGCCTGCATTAACAGGCACCCAGCAGCGGCTCAGAGGCAAGACAAAGGAAAAGCGGAGTGTGACTCTGCCCTGCTGGGGCTGCAAGTGAGCACCTGGGTGGAATTACTGGCTTCAGCACACAGATGGGGGAATCCTCTACATGGGAAGGAGCAGCCCTCTCCAATCCCCTTAATGCAGGCTCCTTCCCACTGAGGTCATGCAAGAGCTGTGCTCTTGCTGATGGGGACTTCGGAGGGGATGCTGTCACACCCGTTTCGGTTTCCCTTCCAGGGAGCCTAGGTCCCTGCCTTCAGTTGCATTAATGACTGTGCCAGACCAAGCAGCCAAGTTTTAGGCATTACGACATGTATGTTGGTATCCCCAAAGTGCGTGTTCTGGATCCGACCTCAGGTCCTGCAAGCTGGCTGTTCTTTTGCCTGTTGTATTCCCTCCAAGGGAAGGATCTTTAATCCTGCATTGGCTCTGCCTGCTGGAGCCCTGAGCCCGTGAATTTGTTGCCTGTGCTGTATATGACAGGGTTACTGTGAGCAACTTAGGTGGTGTGTAAACCCAGGGGAACGAATAGCCTTTTCCCCAAGAGACTTGCTGTCTTTTGAAAACGCTGTCCTCTATTGTGAGCGGGTTGAACAGATAGAGAATACCCTGTAACCTGGGCTGAGGGAGAGGGTCTGGCTTCTGTGCTGTGCCACTTGTTCAGGTTGTGCTTTGCACTGCTCAGCTCTGTGCATCGAGAGCCAGCCTCCTAGCCGTGTCCGCGAGATGGGCTTTGGTAGGTGCTGGACGGGGCCTCTTTTACAGGACGCGGGCACAAATGTCCAGAGCCGACAGCGAGGAGTGAAGAATGAGGAATGGGACTGAGGAATCGGGGACCAGTTAGTCAAAGGGAATGGAAACACGGGGTGGAGGGCCGGCATCGGCAGCCTGGGGCTGCCCTGCGCAGGTGCGGGCGCTGCCCGCGCGCAGGTGCTGCCTGTTCTGCAGAGCCGCAGGTGCTCGCTGGGCGACCGGGCTGCTCTGCTGAGGGCAGCCCTCTGTGCAGTGTGCAGTTTGCCTTCAGAAGGTAAGTGTTTGGTTGAGTTTTTCTAGGCTGTTTCTAGGATTTTTGTGGCAAATGGTTGAGGTAGGTGTTTGCCTGCCTTGTGGTGTAGGGCTGGTGTCAGTGAGTGTGATCTGGCTGAGGTGTTCCCTCAGGGCTGGGGGGTAGGCCTGGCCAGGACTGAGTTGTGAAGGAGTTTGGCCAGGCTGGAGTTACAACTCATGTTTTGCAACTTCTAGCATATGGACCAAGCAGATCTCCCAAAGCCTGTGCTAGTGCTATGTCTTTTGTCCTCCTGCTGGGCCAAGCAGCAGCAGAAAATGTGATTTCAGGGTTGGAAGTGCAGTTGCAGTGCTGTAGTCTGAGGTAGTGAGTGTGCAAAAGCAGGGTTATTTCAGAAAATTGCTGGTAGCTGGGCAGAGCCCTTCTTCCTGGCTAAGGCATGGAGTAACTGAAGAACTGAGACTCAATTAAAAGTTAAACTTTCACTAGCTTTATTAAATGGCATTGGGACGAAAGCAGTTAGTTGGACTTTGCTCTGTGGAGGTTCAGGAGGATCTCTTGTAAAAATGGTGTTTTGTGGAGTCACGGGTAAGGTGGAGGTGGCAGAGTTCTCAGCTGCAGAACCAAAGCTGGTGTTTTGTTCTGTTGATCCAACATGGTGGCAGAAAGTCCTCTGTGGTCTAAGCAGAGCCCTGTGCAAGTATGTTCCTTATTAGAGAGCCCATGCAATCAGTGGAGTCTGATTGCAGCTGTGTGGAGCTGTATTTGCTGGGGCTGGCTTGGCCTACCGTGTTTTAAAAAATGCTTAAAGTCTTCACCTATGCAGAAAGGTACCTCAATTTTTCATAAGAAGCTCTGGTTACCGTTCACTCTCTTTTCTCATACTAAGACCGAGCCCCAGCTATAAGCTACCTCCCATAGTGCCAGGTGTAGAACAAGCCCAGAACAAAAAGGCAGTCTCTGCTTCAAACCTCCCATGCACTAAGGCAAAAGGAACAACTCCTGGGGACAGTTTGATGTCTTAAAAGCTGTTTCAGCCTTATGTCTAGTCTTCCTTCCCTTTCCTCTCAATGTCACCTTGGTGTTCGGTTTGCCTTCCGCAAAGGTATTCCAGCAAAGTCATGTTTTCCTGGGATCCTGCCTAATTGCGTGGGTAGACTGCGTTGAATTCAAAGCCTGTAGAGTATACCTGTCAGCCCTGTGGTATCTGCTCGTGTGTGGAGTTACAATTTGCTAACGCACCTTTGCATGCTATGATGGTTTTAATTTTAAGGCCATGGAAGATCTCCTAAAAACACAAGATTGTTGGGGAAGAAAAATAACACTTCTGGTGTGGTAATGTTCCCTTCTACGTAGGTCTCCTGGTTTTAGTTTACAGTGGATATATTGCAGTGTTCGGCACTCTTTGCGTTTTGGAGAATTAAGTCACGTTAAGGAGTTGCTATGCTCTTCTGCAGAAAGAGAGTTAGTTGCATTTTAGTGGTGGATAAAACAATTCCTTCTTGTAGCTCTCCTAACGTGTTTACATATCAGAGGTGCTTTGGGCTCAATTGGGATGCAAGACACTCTGCAAATGCAAAGATGTAATTATCCCATTTTTCTCTTCCTACTCCCTGCCTTTCTCCCTCTGCACTTCTGGCTCATCTCCTCCGCCCTTTCCTGAGCATTGTGCTGATGGCAGCGTTTATCTGCATTTGTCCTCTGTCCCTGACATCCAGTTATTGATTGGCATGATTAAAAGGAACTGATAATCACTTCACATTAATCCCATAAATGACTTAAGACACCAAAATATTTGCATAATGCATCTTAAAGGTGGCAGCTAAAAGAGGATAAGACCCAAAACTGCTTGGCACAGGAGAAATGGGCTTCCCACTCACCTGTGGGCTTGCTTAAGTAATTAGCCTTCTGCTTGCATAAGGAGGAATCTGAACTGGTTTAGCGGAGGAAGATGCAATGGGTGCTCAAAGGCTTTGAGATCCGAGCATCCTATCTCATCGCTGAGATTGGGGGTGGGGGGAGCGCGCGGGGGGAGCAGCAGGGAACATGACAGCGGCTGCTGAAATGAGAGTCTGTTTTTGTCTGCTACATCTTGTGAAAATCTGGAGCCAGACGCCCGCTGAAAGTACCTCTGTCTAAAGACTTTCTGTCATAAACTTATCTGATTAGCAGAGAGCTAGACGACAGATTAGCCCCTGCTTCTGCACTAGGGATGGGCTCTCTGGAGCGTTTGAGCAGATCTGCTCCTGTTGCTAGTGCTGATAGCCTGTAGGTGGGGGTGCAGCAGGTGGGGAGGAGGTAAGGGGGGATAAGAGGGGGATATTTAAAGGAAGATCATTGCTAGGTAATTCTGCAGATAATGCACCCTCCGTGCTGTCCTGCTGGTCTCAGGTGAGGCCACTCTCCTCTGCACCAGTGAGTTGGTGGTGGTCATGTGCTGTGTGTCCCAGCAGCACAGACTGGGTGCACTTGTCATGTGAGTAGAGGCTGGGAGGGAGCTGTGGATGTGGGAGGGAGGGCAATATTTCTAATATGTATAATTTTTTGTGAGTGTCTCTGGTTCTTCTGGCTGTCATCTTCCATTTAGAAAGAGGAGAGGAAGAAAAATAGCCACATTTAGCTTGGGGGAAGCACCTTGTGCTAGAAGGATGGGTGATTTACCATATACTGCAAACAAACAAAAGGGAGACATTCCAGCACTTCCATTTAGTATCATGTATACGTTTTAGCTTGTTCTTCCTATTCAGTGTTTGTATATGATTTATTCAGAAATATTTTGCAAGTGGATAGTGGCTTGCAAGCAAAAGCATTTGCCAGCTGAACTTCAGTATCTGCTACAGTGAATGTCTTTTTGTGTTTGTGTTCTCCCTCTCCATAGAAGGAAAAAAAAAGAAAAGCAAAAAGACTAAACTAGACTACTTAGCAGCAATCTGATGCAACGATAACAGGCAAAATAATGCTAAACTGCTCTAATGCATTCTCTTGTCCCAGAAGGAAGAGAGCATTGTTTCAGGATCTGTTAGAGTGAAGAGTTGAAAATGAGTTTTGTAAATAAATCTGCACCCTCAGCTCTGAGCAGTGCTGATCTCCAGGTTCATGGTGGGTTTCTCTGTAAAAAGAAAAACTATTATTCAAGTAAATAAAGTAGTCTTGTGTTCCAACAGTGATGGAATGGAAAAACTTACTTTTTTTTAAGAATAGAAGGGTGGCAACTGATAGAAAGCTATCAGTTATTTCAGTTCAAGTTTCCTATTAATTCTGGAATAGATCTGCCAATTCCTACACTTTCAGTTTTTCCATCTGAGATGTAAGTTCTGGCCCACACAAGTTATATCTGGCAAAACTGAAATCAGGAGCTCTGGCAGCTGCGGAGTCCTTTATGGGAAATGAGAGTTCTGTTTGGGAAGTGCTTTGCACTTAGCCTCCGCTCCCCCAAACCAGAGGAGGTTACCTAGGAACCTGAGGGGTAGGAGGGGGAGAACCTTTCTTGAAATACAGCTATGGCAGGGGCAAACAAAAGGGTCTTGCGTGCGCACACACATATGCTCATACAGACAAAAATCAATTATGTGGTGGCAAATAGGATTTCCGTAACTTGGTGCTTTTCTGCTCTGTTGCAGCCGTGATAACGACCTTTCCACTATCATCTCCAACCTGCATCAGAGCCGTCAACTCGTTATGCCAGAGACCCAGAGCCGCTGTGAATTCAAGAGAAACAGCATCGACGTTGGCTTAGGAGCAGCAGGTAAGCAGCTGGAGCACGTCCTGCTGGTTTGGGTTTGTTGACTTCCCTCCTCTCTCTTTCACATTTATTCATTTTTTTCAGCAGCTGCTTTTTCTGTGGCTGTTTGTGTTACACTTTGGAGTGAGCTATATGAAAGCTTTTAATATTCTGGTTAAAGATTAACATGGAAAGGATTTCATGGTGATGTTAAAGTCCTTTTGAGATCTCAGCCCTGTGGTATTCTCAGATCTAGTGGTCTGTGTTAAACTACTGGCAAAGGAGCTTGCGCCAGCAAAGAAGTGAAATGTCCCCAGGGTTAGAGTCAAGTGAAGCAGAAAGGCCTTGCAGAGAGCATGGTTTGATTCGTAATTTCATTAATCAGAGGTTCCCCATGCTGCCTCTGTGCCTGCCATCTCCTTTGTGAGCATGATCGTTTGGTTTTGTAGTGCTGCCTGGCTTTTTTGGGAAGTTCACCTGGTTTCAACTTAACATGGTGAAACCAGAAATGCTCCTCTTGGATCCTGCACCATGCCTCTCTGGCTGTCAGTAAGGGAGCTATGGGCAAGGATGCTTTGGTGGTAGAGATGCATCAGTCAACAAGTGAGACACTGGTAATAAAGTAGGGATCTGCTTGTTGTTTGCAGAATCTACGATTTGCTTTTGATTATAAGTAAAAGTTGAGGAAAAACTGGGAGCTATTCTAGTTTTTTGTATTGAGTGATCCCTGTCCTTCCAAATCAGAATTGGATCTCTGTATGTTAATGCAGGTCTTTCCTGAAAATCTGTATGTTTGTGGTTTTGTTCATATTTTCTTGTAAGTCATTCTATTGACTGCGTAACTTAACCCCGGATCTGAAGGGAACACAACATCTAATACACTTTGGGAATGTCTTTGGAGGATATTCAGTAATGGGACAGGCACCTGGTTTGCCTTTTGCATGAGGCTTGACCCCTTTCCAGAAAGGTTCCTCCTGCCTGCAGTGAAGTTTGTACTGCTGTGACTACTTTTGCAGTAAAGTGTTCAGTCCCATATATGTGTTGTGCTGAACTGAGGGATTTGTGCTATGTCTGTAAAGCAGCCATGGGCAGCTCCCAGTCTTTGCTTTCACAGCTGGATCTCCATATTCTCTTCATTAACGAGCCTCCACAGTCCCTTTTCCTACACAGCTCTAAAAGCCAAACTGGACAGAGAGATACGTTTTTCTGTATGACCTTGCTTGGTCTATATGTCCCAGCTGACCCTGTATGTTAAAATGGTTTTTAATATTGTTTGCTTTACAGAGAAACTGCTGAGCTCGATCAGCGTTGCTGAAATTCTTTGAGATCCATAGCATTCCAGAAATGCAAAGGGTACTTTTCATTTCCATCAGTGTTAAGCAGTAGAAAAGATGGGATGGAGAAGTCCTAATTCTTATTTGTTAGGATTTATGTTTGAGGTTCTCTAGTTAGCTTAACCATAAGAAACAGTAAGAAATATAAAACATAGGCCCCGCACACATGTTGTAGCAGTGAGGGCAGCAATGCTTGGCTCTGACCTCAAGGAAAGTCTGAGCAATGAAAAAGAAGAGGGCTCATGCACACAAGAGGCCACCAAGCGACAGAGCTTTTCAGGACATGATAGATTTGGTGACAAGAGCTGACCAGCAAAAGAGTAGGTGGGGGGATGGTGGGGAGATTAGGTATCTGAAGGGAGAGAGGGCATTGTCACATCTCCACAGGGACAGTTTAACTCTGATTTTTCCCCGCTGTCTGGAGCCAGCTCACTCTACATGCTTGTTTGGTTAAGGGAAGACTCATTTGCCAAAGCCTACACAGAACTTGCCAGCTCTGACTTCAGAGCATGTGCTGAACTGGTACCTATGCCACCACCTCCCGGACATGGAAGTCAAGGGAACAGAAACAAAATGTGCTGGGATTTGTAGCTGATGCCGATTATTGGGTTTATGTCTTGGTTCTGTTTGTTTTTACTGGCAGGGGTGAGAGGGAAGAATGGTATAACTAATTGCTACATATATCATTTTAAGAGAGTTAGTGTTGGGTTAGTCTAAAAGACTGGCGCTTGTTTAAACCACTTAGTTACAACACTAAGGGAAAAAGAAATGTGCCCCCAGTTGTCTGCTGTTTGCGTTGTATGCCTTTGAGAACAATACTGTGTATTTGGGTTATGAGAATCTTGCCCTCAAAAAGGCATTTGGAGATGGACAATGCTGAATAAATGACGTTAATGCCGATGTGTTTAAAAACTCCCCTATCGCTCACAAGCTGCAGTGCTCTGAGTGTAAGTTGGAATCTGCTGCTAAAACGTTTTCTGTTGCTGGTTTAGCATTTATGGTTTGAAGTTAGGCATACAGTCCCATCCAGTAGAGGCTGAACACTCCGGAGGCTGCTCTGCAGCTCAAACTGCAAGTTGTACAAGTGCAGGATGAGGGGTGAGTGCATACTGCTAAAACGGGATGCAGAAGGGTACGTGGCTTCTCGGCTACGGCTGAGGCAGCGTAGAGGATTGAGAACAAGGACAGCATGAATGGCAGAGATTTGCTTGTTGCAGGGTCCATGGGGTTAAGAAGAGGGTTGAAGTTGGTAGGGTTGGTTGGTTTATGATTAATTCTGTGAGGGAGTTCCTTGATTTATAGTTAAAACCAGGATTAGAGGCAGTGCTATAGTTTTGAACAGCATGGACTAGAAAATGAGAAGTATTACTCGATCTTTAATGGTCTTTGAAATGCAGAAAGGGGCTGAAACTAATGGAAAATAATGGCATTTATGAGTTCTGGGAGATAGGTGAGACTAGAGTCAGGGTTAAAGCTAGATCTGGGCTGGTGTTCAGCTCAAAAGGGCTGAAGAGACTGATGTATTGCTGGAACATATAAGACCTTTGGTTGGA